ATTTGTATTTGCTTTATATTATTTTATATAAATTTTAGAAAAATATAGGACTAACATATTAAATAATGTGTATATAACAAAATCTATGGGAGCTCTTACATCTTTGAAAAATGGAAATAAGAAAATCCCCAAAATGATTAAAAATTTCTAGGACATAACTGGCTCAACACTATATCCTTGATGATGAACAGCTAACTTTAATGTTCATATAATACAGTCCTAGATATTACACTAATTATAGACAACATAATTCAAGAGATTTTGTACCATTTTCTGATAATAAAAAAAACTATGTTAAATGCTTGTTAATTTTCTTCCAATAGAGTCATATAGTCTTTTTTTTTAAAAGAGTTGAATGTATATTGCTGGAGTCATAGAGTTCTGAACTCGAATGTGCAAACATTGTCACTACCATGTCTGTAAATTAGGAGTGTAAAGAAGAACATGGGAACAAATAACTTGATAATGAAAGAGCTCATAAGGATTGGGGTTAGCGCTATCGATTGATATCATGATGTTTATGGACTTCATGTGGGAATTCTTGATTCCCAAAATATTGAGTGTTCTCCACTATTTATTGGTTTCATTTTCCTAATGGATTTTTTTTAAAGGTGTTCAAGCACTATCAAAGCATATAATCTCACATGTGTCTCAGAATTCCATCTCATGGCCTTCTCAGAGGATCCAAACTTGCATCCTGTCCTCTTTGGGCTCTTCCTGTTCATGTACCTGGTCACAGTGCTTGGGAACCTGCTCATCATCCTGGCTGTCAGCTCTGACTCCCACCTCCACACCCCCATGTACTTCTTCCTCTCCAACCTGGCCATTGTTGACATCTCTTTCATTTCCACCACAGTCCCAAAGATGATTGTAGACATCTCAACTCAGAACAGAGTCATCTCCTATGTGGGCTGCCTCATCCAGATGTCTCTTTTAACACTTTTTGCTAGTATGGATGACATGCTTCTGACTATGATGGCCTATGACCGGTTTGTGGCCATTTGCCACCCCCTTCACTATGCAGCCATTATGAATCCTCACCTCTGTGTCTTACTACTTCTGCTTTCTCTCCTCGCTAGCTTTTTGGACTCCCAGCTGCAAAATGTAACTGCCTTGCAATTTACTTGCTTCAAGGGTGTGGAATCTGATAATTTCTTCTGCCATCCAACTCAACACTTTAATCTTTCATGTTCTGATACCTTATTCAAAACTATGGTCACATATTTTGTTGGTGCCATATTTGGCTTTATTCCCATGTTAGGGATCCTTTTTTCTTACTATAAAATTGTTTCCTCTATTCTCAAAATCCCTTCATCAGGTGGGAGATACAAAGCCTTTTCTACATGTATTTCTCATGTGTTAGTTGTTTTCTTATTTTATGGAACCAGCATTGGAGTGTACCTTGGTTCAGATGTTTCATATTCTCCCAGGAATGGCATGGTGGCTTCATTGATGTGCACTGTGGTCACCCCTATGCTGAATCCCTTCATCTACAGCCTGAGGAACAGGGATATTTGCAGCACCTTCAGGAAGCTCCACAGTTAGATTCCACAGCAAATCTAATCAACGGATATGTGGGTTCCATTTGGAATGTAAAAATGTAGCTGAATGGAATGCAGAAAACTCAATGTAAATATTCCCTGGTTGATTATATTATTTCACATGTTTGATGTCTTCTATTTTATACAATGTACATAGAAAAATTGTGGCTGGCTTGGGGAATGGTGAAATTTATGGTTTTAATATCAGTGCAAAGTTCACTTGGGAATTTGTAAAAAATTTTGTAGGTGGATAAGAATGATGGTTGTAGAAAAATAGCACTGGACTTAGTGCTATAAGACTTTATTTTAAAGTGGTACATTTAGTTATATTGATATAGCACAGTGAAAATAGAAATAATAACATGAGATATTTAAATAATTTATAAAGCTTTATTAAATGTTTCAAACAGCTGTACAATGAATACATCAAAAATAA